CACATGCCAATGGGACAGATAACTGACCATAAAATGCTAAATACAACACATCTACTGAACATTGGGAACATTGAGGATAACCCCTAACCTAGTTCACTCACTAGTCGAGTCGTTTGTTTATACTAACTTGAAACTTATTTCATATCAATTCATAATAAAGCTGAAATATTACTAATAAAGTAGATATTATTTATTCAGAGTAATAATTATATGTATGAGACAATTTACAATAAACATAAGATGTTATTTTTGTCTCTCAATATTCGATGTTCATGCATTAATCTAGGCTAACTGTTTTTAGTCAGATTTTCTGATGAGACGTCACACATTTGTAATACAGTTAATGCATTTGTATTTGACTACTAGCCCGTTGGAGTTGACATACATACAATCGAATTAAAGAATAATTAAGACAAAATGATATCCAATCTCTGTTTCCAAATCGAACCATCTAGTAAGATCTATGGTTTAGCTGTACGCGTCAGTTTTAATCTCGTGTTGTAAACCTTAGACGAATGACTGGACCGATAACCTCTTACTGGTGTATATGCATATTTATGACATATCTTGTTTTTCCAAGTCATGGCTTTAGGAGTACAGATACTCAAGTTTTGACCATTCGATTTCTGATTCGAACACTGCTCTACCTAATTTAAACTTGAATTATTCAGTCTGAAAGATATAAGATAAATAAAAACTGAATTAATGTTCTTTTCGACTGTTATTTACTAAACGATTAGTCTTAATGCTTTTCACTGACTTCTTAATCGCTTTCTATAACCTTAGACTACTTCTATACTTGAACTCGAAAAATAGGGAAAAGGTGCAGAATATGAGTAGAGCTTTTCTTCAAGATCAATCCGTTAACAAAAATCGAGTTTATCAGTTTTCAGATGACCGCGATCCTCTGGAAACAGTATACTAACAATATGAGTAATTATCCAATTAAAACGTGATACATAATTCTTAATTTTTCTAGTTGCTTATGAGAAGCTTCTATTCAGAACACTGAATAAAATGTTTTTAGCTTTAGCAGGGCGTCTACAACACGTCTTGCATAACGACATAGACAATTGGATTGATCAATGTACTTAAGGTGAAGACAGTCCACTCTCCCTCTCCAAATGCTCTCAAGTGGCCACGCGTATACAGGCAACGTCAGTGGAGTCCTAATCACTGCCTTCCCGTGGTGGGGGTGTTGTTTACCGAATTGACAGGATGAAAAGCGAATGTCCGGCGCTTTAACCGGGATCGGTAGATATGGAGGTCTACTTAGGGTAGTTGGAAAACCCTGATTCGAAACCGATGGTGCACATGAGCTCCAGAATCTTGAGAGAACAAGTGGTGTATGAACCAATTATTGGCCACTGGCTACTATGTGACTGCATCTGCTGACGTTGCTCCACTACCTTGTGAATTAGACTTTTAGTTCAAAGCACAACTTGTTTCTGGCTAGCACCAACTACCGGCACAGTCATCGCTGATGTGCCACCTGGTGCCCTCCCTTTTCATCTCAATCCTGGACTCAGATTGATCACATCGTGATCAGCTACCGCTGGCGTGGTTGTGTACTAAACTGCCGCTCCATTTGGAGTACCTGTATGGACTCTGATCATGCCCTTGTTTGCGCTAATCTTACCTTGCTTTTCAGTAGCCAATAAATTCATCATCCTAAACGGATTGATGTAAGTAAATTAGTTGCAGCTCCTGTTGCAACTAAATATCAAGCTGAGTTAGGTTCAAGACTATCTAAAATTCCACTGAAAAGTATAGATGAGCATTGGTTGCAATTGTATGATGCCGTGAAAAAATGGCGAGTAAAGTCACATGCGGCTTCGCGAAACGTCTCGCTTGTAAGTACTGGGTCTCTTCAGGTTCCATACAACTCTACTTCGTGTGACCGTGAGTTTGATCACAAACAACAACTGTTACGTAATGAGATTGTGCAAAGCTTGTGTAAGGACCGAGAAGCCTGGTGATCGGAGCGTGCCAAGGAGTTGGAAGCAGCAGGCACATCTGGCAACGGCCGGAACCCCTTTCACCTCATCCGAGTCACTGGCAGCAAGACGTTTGGTGTGAGGGAAACAATCTCTAAAGACGGCGGGATGCCAGTCACTAACATAACATCAAACGACGTCTTGGACGATCGGCAGAGTTCTTCGATGAGCAGTTCAACTGGTCTGCTTCCCCAGAAACATCGATCAGTCTGTCTTGCTTTCCATGGCCTCTGACGACTGATCCATTAAATGAGGCGGGAGTTCAGAAAGAACTGCAACTCTTGAGGCGCTACAAATCGCTGGATCCGGATAACTTACTTCCGGCCCTTTTTAAAGATGATAGTGAGTTTCTACTTAAGGAACTGTCTGAGTTTTTCACAAAGGTTTGGCAGTTAGACAGTGTACCAACGTCATGGAATGAGTCAATAATCGTACTTATCTTTAAAAAAGTTTCACATCATCTATGCAAGGACTATCGGGGGATAAGTCTATTTCCGATTGCGTTCAAACTATTGACTTCCATCATTCTCCGTAGATTGTTCAAAACCCGAGAAAGATTGACTCGCGAAGATGTATTGATCACATATTCACTCTCCACCAAATGTTAGAACACCGTTATACTTATCACAGGCCAACAATCGTAGTGTTTCTTGATATAAGGTTTGCCTTCGATTCGTTGGACAGGACTGTTCTGTGGGATTGTCTATTGAAGAAGTGTGTGCCTGAGAAGTTTATTAACATCTTAAAAGCTCTATATACAAACACCTCAGGCAGAGTGAGGGCATACAACCACCTCTCTCTATTGTTCCATCCAAGCAGTGGGGTTAAACAGGGTTGTCCAATCTCACCATTCCTCTTCAACTTTGCTACCGACGACGTTCTGGGAACAGCTCTGATGGATGTAAGTAATGGCGGTGTGGATCTGTTGTTCGGAGAAAGACTCCTCGACCTTGAGTGTGCGGACGATATTGTCGTACTGTGCGATATTACCCAAGCCGTGCAATCCCCACTTAATCAGTTGTCAATTAGTGTCCGAGTTGGGGATGTTAGACGACTCTCTGTGTTTGATCATCGTTGTCTCCGAAGGATCGCTGACATCCAGCGGCAACACTATGTTAGTAATGCAGAGGTTCAGCATCGTGTGTTCGGGCACAGAGACGATAATTCAGTTGGTGTCACTATCTTGAAACATGGACTTCGGTGGCTTGGATATGTTCTACGAATGTCGTCCCAGAGAATTCCACGTCGTGAATTATTTGCCCACTCTGGGACCAGTTGGGAAAAACCGAGAGGTGGTCAGTGTATGACATGTTGTCGTGGTATGAAAGAAAGTTGTGCGTGACTGGCTTCTGTTGGTTCTCCATGACTCCCTGACTGGGGTCCGAGAGATGGTGCGACACAGTGGCTAGAGACGTTATCAGATATGGTTCAGAATAGAAGCCAGTGGCGGTCCTGCTGTAGCTTTTTTTACTTTCTCCATAGAAAAGACGTCACCTCTTTAAGTGGAATAATTCTTTGTGGTTGTACTTTTACTAATTGAACTGCCCCTCCCATTATTGTTATTTCAGTATCATACACAAATTCTGTTCATTGTTGTACTCACCTTACATTCTTTACATCTTCACATTCTCATTATTATTGTATGGCGCATATGTATCTGGTGCCCCTTTGTACCAATGTTTTTCTGTTCAAATAAATAAATGATGTTTAGATTCCCTGTTTGGAGTCCACGTCATCATCATAAACAATAGTTAGAGACTCTAAATGACGTAGCTTAAAATCGTTTGTAGTGTCATAAATGCATCCACTTGTCGTTCGCTCTTAATTTCTAAGTTTCGGAACTCATCATTGGTTTTTTTGTTCCGCTGATTTTTTTCTTTGGTTAGTATCTTTGTTGCTTAATTGTTTCTAGTAGTTCAATACCCCTACCACTCCTAGTTTTGATCTGACAGTTTCACCTCTAAAATAATAGGGTATGGTAGTGTTGCTTTTGACCGACTGACTTTCGAGGAATGTTTTAGACTTCAACACGTGTTGATCAAAGTCACACTGTTCATATTAATATTTTTACCTACCTGTCATCCACCTATGTTATCGTCTGCACTAGCTTACAAGTATCATTAAATGATGCCTTATCCAAAGTGATAATTATAATAAAAAACCCTATCGTGATAGTTATATTTTTCACATTTCGTGTTATAATTTGTGGATAATAAATACTACGTATCTGTTATGTGCTTAATTATTTCAGACGTATGTGATATTTGGAAAAACCGGTTTTCTTAAATAGGTTTTGTAGTTAGTTTTCATCATGAATTAATCAGTGTTAGAAAGCAAACCAGTGGATTTTATCTAAGTAGTTTAAAGGTTAAGTACTCACCATAAGATCTTTAGGTTCAGATTCTGAACCTTAGTGAGGTCGTCGGTGCACACCACTAAGAAGTTTCATACTAGGAAGAAACTATTTACTGTCCAGTGATCTCGGATTAGTATTGATACACTAATAAAGAATTATGTTAAAAGGCTAACTAATAATAGTGTGCTTTTAAGCGGCTACATTTAAACTTACAGCATTATGGGCAATCTCATCTAAACTATCCTATCCCGAAATAAAAATCGACATTCGCGTGCAGGTACATACAACCGACGAGTCTTAAGTAAGATTAAACGCGCGTCCTGGATCCTACTGTTATTCAGTATCTAACTTTACTTAAGGTTTATGATAATCGGAACAGTCCGTTAAGGATGTACATATTCCAAAAGAGATCATAGATCGGTTACGGCCCTTAGCATCATCAACAGAAAGACTCATTAACTGACAAATGAAATAATGTCTTATCGCATGTCATGAATATAACAGTCGAATTAATTTTATCTGAAAAAAATTGGTTATTATCAGTATTATATGCATTTGACCAGCGAATAGCTTTAATCTCTATCTTGTTCACAACTTTTCTGTCTTTTCTCTCCTTTCAAACAAATTTTAAAAAATAAATATTTCAGTTCTAAAATGTCAAATAAAGTGGTTTATGCTGAAACATTATCCGAATTAGAAGAAACCTTATTCGTTGATCAATTGCCAATACCACAACGTGTTTTAAAGTAAGAGTATTTTATATGAAGAATAATTATTTGTAGTTTATGTGGGTATTCTTCTTCATTACATTCATTGTGAATTTGTCGATTCAAGTAAACATGGCCATTTTCGCTTACTATTGAACTTAAATCAGAATCTATCTCTCCTATTGCGTAACCATTATCTCACATACTTACACAGAGAGAAATGTTATTTATTAAAATTGTTTTAAACTGCTAAAATTGTTGTCTTTGAAATGTTTATCTACATTGTCATTCTATGGTATAGAGATATGTGATTTACATATATGACATGGTGGAGATTTGTAGCTCAGGTAGATGATTTAGGTCGAGTTTTGCTCTCTGTACTGAATGTTTTGGTCGTCGAGCACAAACTTCTACCTGAAGTTTATGCTGATGATGTTGCTTGGAAGAATAATAAAAGCTTCACAATTAAACCATCCAAGTCAGCGAATAAAACTGCACAAAATCTATATTGTCTAATTTGGACTTGAACATAATCGTATTTTATGTCAATAAATGTAATTGACACTAAAAATAGACCTACATGTTGTTAGTCTATACCTTAGTTTTCCAGTTGATAGGATCTAGATGATTTGTTAAAGTTTCTACTAGATAATGATAAACAAGTGAATAAAATAAGCTTGTTAATTCATTAATTTTTGATAACATGCGTTGTCATTCCTACCACTATTCATTATAAAACATACCGTTAAGAAAAACTTGAAGTGCAAGTTAGTAATAGCAAAATTGTTTTAATTTATGTCTATTCTCTATTATTCACCTGCTCCTGTGAAGTAAAACTGTACTTAGTGTTGCTCTTCTTGTTTGAGCACATCTCTGAACACATGAAAAACTTAGTTCTATTTGGGGAGAAAAAATTAAAGCATCTAACTTATTTTCATTGTCTTAGATCATTTTGTTATTCCTGAATGTTTGGTTGGTTAATACATATTGTAACTGATGTTTATTGACCGAATAAAAATATTTTCTGTTTTCTACAATTTCTTACTATAATACGATAAAACGACTAGCGACTGATATCTTGTTACCAATAAACTGAATGCTCGATTCATACGATATGCACAGACTGGATTACATACAGAATACCAATTTACGACCGATATAGAGAGCCAGAGTATACGCTAGGCAGTACCTCAATCGATGCAATCATAAGGAGTCTGCACTCAGTGAGTTCAGAGTAGAAACCAGTGACACAAAGCAACTCACATGTTAAATTGTTGTGACTTTAAGGCCGGCTAATTATCATGTGATTTATTCGCCAATCGAATTATGACTTATACAATCTTAATACTGTGTCAAACCAGTAACGTTCGACCGGTATGAGCAGCCTAGCGTCCTTATTGACTCTTTTTTCTCCCAGCCCTTTCAGTTGAGTCCAGAACGCCAATAACAGCTTCCACTATGCGAATCATTTATTTCAAACATACTCGGTTTATATATCAGCCAAACAGGCAGCATTACACCATAAAATAGGAAATAACATTTATACAAGATCAAGCTAAATAATGGCTGTGAACGTGGGAGACTGTAATTAATAAACTGAACATAAATTAAGAATAGTAAATTGTATAATAATAGTTTATAGGTCAAAATAAAGCTTATAATAAGAGGAATATAGATATATGCAATCTAGTTACTGAATAGTTATACAATAAGAATACATATAGAATATTAGTCCATTAATAGTTCTCAGAAGTTAACCGTAGTTTAATCTTCACTAGGATATAATATAAATAGTGGGCTGTTTCTTTGAATTTATGCTCAGTAGCCAATGATGTCTTTCTCCTAATGTCCATTTTGTCTTACAGTTTATCAAAACTTGGTTAAATATGTCTACATGAGATTATTTTAAACTGCGAAGCCCATAGCTATTCACATTATAAACCTTAAACTTTATATTCATTAGGGGTTTATATGATTCCTTGATTTATTTTTTGAATAGATGCCATAGGCATAAACTCAAACCATGTCTCTAGCCAACATTGTGTCTTATTTATATGTAGGGGTTTGAGTATTTTATGCTTTGGGTGTTCGGAGCTAAAGGTTAATGGGTTTGAAACGGGCGTTGGACATCGGCACCATGATGCATGTACTCTTGGCTGTCGAGTCCTAATTTGGACTAAATATACTTCATAAATCTCACTGTTAACCACAATTCACCTTTACATTTTGTCGTATCATTTTCATAATGTTTATGTTCTTTCCATCTCATATAGTTTTAGTTCTGTTTCTTTTTCTGAATTCGTATTCCATTCATTATTCCATAAGATAAATAATGTTACACATTTATCAGGTATGTATTTTTACAGTTTGCTTGAAACTACACTTTTGTGTGGGTTTGCAGTGAACAAGCTTTTCGGATTGAAAAATATGATGGATCGGTGTATGAACCTGTGGTCTTTTGGTTGCGAAACCAAACCGTTTAACTCCCCTCATTCATGTTCTCTTCCTTTCTCTTTGCCATCACATAGCTGTTGCCATCTGCTCCATTGTAGTTAGGATGATAACTTCTGCATGCTAACTGTTTTGTTCTCAATTGGATTTATTTTCTTCTGCCTGTTATTTCTCGTGGAGCATAGGCCACCGACCAGGGATATCCGATCAGCTCTGTTACGGTCTCTCCATTCAAGGTGTTACCAAAGTGCTATTCTTCGTTTTGATGTCTACCTTCGATTCCTGGCGCAGTGTGTTTTTTGGTCTGCCTTTCTTCCTTCAGGTATCCAAACTAGAGCCTGTTTCGTGATGCAGTTTGATTATTTCCTCAGTGCGTTCCCTATCTTTTCCTAATTTCTCCTTCACCTGGGAACTGGTTTTTTCTCTGTCACAGTAGGTCGTTGCTGGCCAACGAATCTGAAGTATCTTGTATAGATAACTGTTTATAAATGCCTTTGCCTTTTTTATGATGGTCGTAGTAGTTCTCCACAACTTCAACTCCGTACAATAGAACTGTCTTAAAATTCTTTTCGAAAATTATGAATTTTTTGTTGACTGATAATTCTTTAGAGTTCCATTTATTCTTCAATTGTAGAAATTCTTCACTTGCTCTTCCAATTCGTGCCTTATCATGTGCATTAAATCTTCTTTATCAATTAAATGTGATTGTACAGCATGAATGAGAATAGTGCCTCTAAAATTAAATCTTTTCATTGAATGTTTTAATCTACTTGAACAGATGGGATTCATTTTTCGCTATTTGTAACTCCTATCTTTTTATTCATTGGTGTTATATCTCATTAATTAATTAACTAATTATTAATAATACCATTGTTATTATTGTGATAAGTTTGCTTTGTTTTATTCATATATTAAAGCTATGATAAATCTATTATAAAAAATCTACCTCCAAGATCTGTTCCAAAAATTCAAAAAGAGTAAGCAAGTTATTGCTAATTAATTAATTAACTAATTACATCAATAAATGTGAATTTGTTACCTTTTTAACGAAAATGTAAAACATTTTTTCATTATTATAATTTTACGTTATGCCTATCAATCACTGTTTTCAGTATCAAGCACATGTCAGTTAAGGATTTTAACAGAAATTATTTTTAAACCTCTAAATTTAAAAGAAAATAAAAGCTGTTAATTAGATCTACGCCTTTGTGATTGAGTTTGATCTATTCCACTCAATATTTCCAGATCATTGGTTACGACAATCACGCTCACCCTATTAAGTATTCTTTACCTACATACCCACATACATTGCTCGTTCTAACAGTCAGTGAGCTCATGGGATAGTATCACATCTTCATTTGACAGAGATTTGCTTTCTGAAAGCAATATCACCTTAGTTATTCACATTGCATAAAGCGTTATAGAAGATACGTTCATATAGTGCTTAGGATTAATGAAATTCAGTGCTATAGTGAAAATGATATGACATTAAACTAATGTCTCATTAAACAGTTACACAGACTCTTATTAAAACTTACGTCAATAATGGGTTCATTTGTCTGCTTGCTAATCTGAATATTATCCACCGCTTATGTGCTGAATAATAAATACTATTAAATTTAATTGTTGTTTGCTTATATCTTCCCATTGTTGTTTAGGACTGCAATCGGTCAGTCTCTTATTTGCATGGATAGTGGCTGGTAGTGAAATCCAGTACACGCGTTTCGTCTTAATCGGGACTCATCAGCCGGATGTACATGCATCCCATGGTTGCTGTTCACCCCGAAACTCGAACCCAGTACCGTTCACTCCAAACGCCATCGCGTTATCCATTTAGCTACTGGGCCACCATTCATTTTGGCTTATAAAGCCTGTGACTTAAGGCATAAAAGAGAAGTCTTTAAGATATTGATCTGCTCGAATTAGTGGGTTTTCATGTAGCGAACTTAAAGCTCAACAAGCCTGATTATAAACTTTTAGAAAACTCTTAAATTACGTAAAAATCATCGTTATATACAATTAAGTTTAATTGGTTTTTGAGCGATAAGTTCTTTACTTAAATGATCTATGCACTCTTTCAATAACCAAGAGATATTCACATTTAAAAACCTTTTGATCTGTTTGCGTAAACGGTTAGAAATGTTTGTACTTTGGGGGGGGTGGCATAAATGTTTAACCTATGTAATCTTCCGTAGAAGTCATATCATCTATTGATCCTTTACGATCGGCGAGCATAATCTAGTGGTCAGGCTATTCTGCTTGCTTAATATTCTTAAAGAACAAACAAAAGTTTACCGTGAGAATGTTATATATATATTTAGTAGAGCAGATAAGTGATGTACAGATTATGATCACAGTCCCATGTGAGTAGAGCTATCTAAGTAGCTTTTATTAAACTTGATCATAAGTCTTCTAAGGTATTTGGTTAGGGTTTAGCATTATTTCACAAACTGTACTACGTCCATAAGTATGACATCGTCAAACCATAATATTTATGTATAATACTGGCAGGAGCTTGTGTCTTCACCCATCGTCCTCCATAGTTAGTTGTTAGAAACAGTTGAGTTGTTAATGTACGTGTGTACTTGTGTGACCATTCATAATCCAGTAGAACTAAAAACTAAATTTTTAATTATTAGAAATCCAATACACACGATCACATATAATACTTGAAATTGTCAATACAATTTATTATTTCAATTCTACTCCTCTCATTGCATTTATTGCTCGAGATGACTCATTAATAGCCTGCACGTGTCTATAAGCTATCTTGATCAAATTAGTAAAATATTTGGGAACCAGTTATACTGTAATGAGTAATTGATAAAACCCTTATTACAATCGCATAATGTCCCCATTCTTATGCAGATAATTTGTCATTTCAACACTAATTCACCATTTTATTTATTACAATCTGTTATGTGAACTCAACTGTAGCTGCTATCTTAATGTGTTGATCGGGCTTGCGTATCACTGTGATTTGATAGAGCTATATTGGATAAAACACGGGTTCCTTTCAGTCCTATCAGTTCTGTTAGAAAACGGAAAGACTAAAAGTACCAACTTAAGGTTTGAGGGTTTTCACTGTGGTTATATTCCATAGTTTTAATATGCGAATCACAGTAAAAAAAAAACTCTGGCGTATTGCCGACATAGGCTTCCTACAATACACTGAACCCGTTCTGCAGAAGGGAAGATTCAAATTGGTAGGAAAATTTGATTGCCACACTAAATTGTAATGTGCACAAATTATTAGTACACATACGATTGTCGTTTTGACCAAGCGGACGTGTATGCTGAGATCTTCAGTAGGTGCCAGACATATTCCTTTCAATAGCGCGTGTCGTTTATGATGTCTCACGTTTTGATCATGAGATGGCGTGCTATAACTCTATACTCGCCCAGCCTATCATTTAATTACACACTTTACTCAGTCATGCTGATGACAGTGTAACATAGTTGGCCAATCGAAAACCTCCGAATGGCAATTACATGTGATTGGCCATGAAGTTTGATTCTCTGAGGTGTGCTTCTGCATGTGAATCAGTTTAGGCTAATGAACTCCCTTCATCGCTTTTAGCCTTCTCACTCAGTACCTGGTTAGGGGCTTGAAAATAAAACGTTTGTGCATTAACATCAGTCTCGAACACCAAGCATCACAATACAGTTGTTTAGCGTTAATGTGGTATGGTAATTTGAATCAATGAATATATGTCAGGTTCTACGTTGTGCATTACTGAATAAAGGGATTTCCCATTCAGCCACTACGGTCCATGTTTGAACTCTTCCACCTCTTTTTCATTTTGAGCAACCGGACAATGTCATAAGCACTAGCTCATTAGCGAGCACATAAATGCCTACTTAGTAAAATAAGTTACTTAAGTAATTTGTTGGAACTAGAGTTCATACATATCTGTATCAAATGGTTTATTAAAATTTTGACACAACATTAAATAATATTCTTGTTATCTTATATTATTTCAGTTCTACTGCTCGAGTATCTACACCTTATATACCATCGCTGCCGGATGCTGCTTCAGTGTTCTCTGGTGTATATGAAGAACAGTGCAAAGATGTTACTCCAGATCCTCAACAACAATTTAATGTTAGTTTACAATTGTAAGTATGTAACGTTTAAATATATATTAGTATTAAATTGTGCAGATTACTGGATTTCATTTAAATCACGAGTCGATTCAAGTTAGATAACCTTTAGAATCTTGAAAGCACTAGTATAGGACTCCTCGGTAGTGCGTATTTACAACCCTGCAGCCAGAAATCGAACGCAGGATCTTTGGTCTTGCTCGCGAATGCTTAACTTCTAGACCACTGTGCTGGGATCCAATGGTGTACATATCTAACTTTAAGCACTTCATGATATTGCGCGACCATCTCACATTTTCTTCACTTGCTATTTTCCTCTCATCGAACTCGGTTTATATATATATATATATATATATATATATATATATATATATATATATATATATAATGCATGCTTATTATTGTATATTATGTTCTTCATAGCTTGAACAAAGTTTTGATTTCAATTAGAATGTATACTTCGGATTGAAGCATTGTCCTTTCCTCTCTCTTCTTATAATAGCATCAAAATGAATAACGGAGGTCGACCTATTCCTATTGTCTTTGAAGATACCATCGATTATCTACGCGATCGTGGTATGTGGTATTTTGATTTTCTTAATAATGAAAGTAAAATATGTATATCATATTTTTGCTTTTTACATAAATAGAATAAAATATTAATAAATGAGGAATAACAAGGTAAGTCCACGTTTGCTCTGCAGAATCCCCATAACTCATGAGGACACAATAGAGGAGATATGGCTATAACAGCTATATTAAGTACGAGTGAGTTATCCAGATTGTTGAGTTGATAGTCTATATCATGAACTGACCTTTACGTTAGTTATGCGGCAGAAAAAAATCATCAAAACGTCGAAGATTTTAGTTTTTGTAGTTTGCTTTTATTTGAAATCAAACACAATGAATACATCACACTAGTAACGATACAATCATAGTGTTTCTTGATATAAGGTTTGCCTTCGATTCGTTGGACAGGACTGTTCTGTGGGATTGTCTATTGAAGAAGTGTGTGCCTGAGAAGTTTATTAACATCTTAAAAGCTCTATATACAAACACCTCAGGCAGAGTGAGGGCATACAACCACCTCTCTCTATTGTTCCATCCAAGCAGTGGGGTTAAACAGGGTTGTCCAATCTCACCATTCCTCTTCAACTTTGCTACCGACGACGTTCTGGGAACAGCTCTGATGGATGTAAGTAATGGCGGTGTGGATCTGTTGTTCGGAGAAAGACTCCTCGACCTTGAGTGTGCGGACGATATTGTCGTACTGTGCGATATTACCCAAGCCGTGCAATCCCCACTTAATCAGTTGTCAATTAGTGTCCGAGTTGGGGATGTTAGACGACTCTCTGTGTTTGATCATCGTTGTCTCCGAAGGATCGCTGACATCCAGCGGCAACACTATGTTAGTAATGCAGAGGTTCAGCATCGTGTGTTCGGGCACAGAGACGATAATTCAGTTGGTGTCACTATCTTGAAACATGGACTTCGGTGGCTTGGATATGTTCTACGAATGTCGTCCCAGAGAATTCCACGTCGTGAATTATTTGCCCACTCTGGGACCAGTTGGGAAAAACCGAGAGGTGGTCAGTGTATGACATGTTGTCGTGGTATGAAAGAAAGTTGTGCGTGACTGGCTTCTGTTGGTTCTCCATGACTCCCTGACTGGGGTCCGAGAGATGGTGCGACACAGTGGCTAGAGACGTTATCAGATATGGTTCAGAATAGAAGCCAGTAGTGGTTCTCCTGTAGCTTTTTTTTACTTTCTTCATAAAAAGTGGTTGTTTCTGCATTAACTGAAAGAATTCTTCAGGTTGTACCTTTCCGTTTCCCCCATAATTATTATTATTATTACACTAACCTACACTAATCTGTGGTCGTTATTCTTCTTTTTTTTCTTCCATTCTGATTGTTTTGTATGGCGCATGTATATTTGGTGCCCCCTTGTATCAATATTTATGTGTTCAAATAAATAAATACCAATAAATTCCTCGATCAAAAGTATTTCCAATCATTCATCCATAAATAACATAATCGAGCATAAATGTGTTTATATAATGTGCATAAGCACAATAGGAGAAATAATTAAATGATACCAAAATAGTCAAGATAGATTAATTAATATTAGCGTTGAGATTATTAATTTAATTGTTAACTAACAGTCTCAAGACTTTATTTCATACTTTATACCGGTAGTTCAATATAATCGAAAGTGGATGATGGCTGGGAGTGGAATTCAGGATGTGTGTTTCGTTCTATTTGTGACTCATCAGCTGGATGTACCTGTATCCCAACGTTGGTGTTAACACCGGAACTCGAACCCAGTACCGTTCGCTCCAAACGCCGTCGCATTATCCACTTAGCTACTGAGTCGTGATAGCCATTAGCTTGTGTAATGAAGTAAAGTTTTAATTCATTTTGGATTGTTTGTTTGAATCTTCAATTCTGGCGTGCAGGTACATCCTGCTGACGAGTCCCAAATAAGACGGAACGCACGTCCTGGATTCCACTGCTAGCCACTTTCCATTTTTGCTTATAAAGCTTATGATTCAAGGCAATATCGAGGCAATCCGCATAGGATGCACATATGCAAATAAGAAACTGATCGATTGCAGTCCTAAACATCAATGGAAAGATTCGAACAAACAATATAAAATGAATTAAAGCAGTTGAGCATGTTTTTCTTATAGGCATGAATTTCAAAACTGTAAGAGAGTTTAGGGATTTCGGTAGATTACATAGCGAAATTCCGTTAATCGAACTTAAACTGTTTTGTTTTCAAAGTGACTTATTTTAGCTAGTCTATAGCATTGGATTAGCACTAAAAGACCAGATAAATATAATATTGAATAAAGCCATTAATAATAATAATAATAATAATAATAATAATAATAATAATATTGGCCACTCCTCGATGATCAATCGATGTAGAGATCTAATTTCATGGCAGGTCAGTCGTACCTTGAATAAATCAGTGACAACATCTCAGAATGATCTAGATTCAAATCCCACAGGGAGCATCAATTCCATCAATATTTCAGTTATACCTTTTTACGAGTGTCAACTAACGCAAAATCTAAGCGCTTACTTAATTCCTTTCCCTCTGTTAACTCTTTTAGGTTTAACAACTGAAGGAATCTTCCGTCGATCTGTCAGTCTGAAACAATTACGAGATGTACAGAATTTATATAATAATGGTAAACTCCCTTTATTATTATTATTAAGTTATATGAACAGTGTCAGTCAGCCAGTCAGTCGCAACGTGGAACCTGGTACGTATGTACATTGTTTCAAGTTGCCATACACAATTAACACAGAGAGATGAAATTGTCACGCCCTATCTCAGAACAATATCAATTTAGAATTTCTAATACAAATAGCTTGAATTTACGTATTTCCGTTTCTATCAGCATTACAGTCAAGTTATTTTTTAC